GGTTGCATCGTGTCATTGCGAAGTCACACATTTCTATTGAAAGCTGTCTATTCCAAGTGAGACAGAAATGGAAGGAACTCTTTTGTATAATGCTGTTTCACCTCACAAAGTGCATAGAGCCGGGTATAGAATCGTTTTCAAAAGACAGCTCTCCTCTCCCATGTATTTCAGTGATGAGTGCTTGCTGAAGGCCACAGGCAGGCCAGGTCAGACATATTTCCCATACCTGCTTTAACAGAATGACCTGGGTATCATGATATAAGTGTTAGGAGAGCAAAAGTAAATGCTATTACAGTCTGTCAAGCTTTTGCGAAAGAAAATTATTGACTCCTAGAAAGCTACAAAATCCAATGTACTGTATAAGAAGCTGCTTTGTCATAGTCTGTCAGTTTTGCAGTGAGGGCCGTTTAAGAATGTAAGGGGAAAGACACTTTCAGCAGCAGCAGACTGGACTGACCTGTTTATTCTCCATCATCTTTCTTTCAGTTTCTTGACATTTATTCAAAATAAAAAATAAATAGCATATTAAAGATTCAGTCCAGGATTGACCTAAAAAACCTAAGTCTTGTTTCTAAAGCCTTCCACTGTCTGGTGCCCTCATAAACAGTGGGGAGAATGGGTACTTTGTTGTTGCCGATTGTGCAAAATGTCCCATGCTAGCTGTCCTTCAGGAAGTATTTCATCCAAGCTCTCAAAGATCTGCATAAATTGGGCAAAATTATAATTTACAGTGTGCAGGAACGGTCATTCCTAACAAAAGTTACACACCTGATGACAGTTGAAATGTTGTTATTGGTCAAATATACAATGTAATTACCTGTATGTTTTATACATTCTGTTACTTACCGTAGAAGTGTACCTCAAAATGCCTTTTTGTTCCAGTGGTATTTATGATTTGCTTAAGCCTTATCAACCGATCTGTCTCTAATACTCTGACCTCGGCCTTCCCTGTATAAAACTGAAAGTAGGAGAAGTGGCTTTCTCATTATGCTCCTCAATATGGGTGCATCTGAACTCCAGTCTGGGACATCTGCATTTGCTCATTGGATAAGCATGTGATAAACTCAATGTATCCATAAATAAGATGGTGTCCCAACAGAAAGATGTACTGTTCACCTCAATAGAAAACATGTTTCCATACTTGTAAGAAAGAGCCCTGTGAGTCGCAAATTGTTGCATTGGGCTGAGCACTGATTGGCTGCCTGAAAATGCTGATCCAAAGATGCGACTGAGACCAATGTGTTTTGAGAACCAGGAACTAGTTGTGTGGATTGAATTAAACATCAATCAATTTGTTGTGGTCTGAAAGTTACGTACCCCAATTTTTGAAAGTTGTTCTACAATATTGATCTGTTATTTTCCCCTCAAAGCCGCCCTCGCTCAGGGAAACGGTGAAAAGAAACGATCCTAATGACTCTGATTCCGGCGAACACACAAACATAAACTCGTCCGCACCATCTCCACATTTCTTGTACATATTTTCCTCATAACAAACCGAGTCTTTCCCAGTGCGCTCCATTACCTCTGCGCTCATCTATACCGCACAACTCTATCACGCCGTCTGCGGCCGGGGAAACTCACATTCACTTTAGCTGAGAATTAATACTCCGTGGAGGCCGGCGCGCTGCGGTGATCTGTATTTTGTTTTCTCTTTTCTGCGGTTTAGCGCCGTGTGCCCCGCGCCGCCTGGCTGATCCACGCCCATTCATCAAGACGCCGCGTTCCATTATTTGGGGCAGTCAGCCGAAACTGAGAAAGGCTTTAGGGCGGCGAGGCGCATTCTTTCAGCTGCTTGCCCCTGGATGCGCTGACAAGCAAAGGGTTTTACTGTTATGGCAAGATACGATCACTGTGATTAAAGCTGGGATACCTAAGTTTCAGACCACTATTAAAATAACTTTATAATTCATTCCACTTAACTAGTTCCTCACTCTATAAACAGTCTGTATCACTAGGTTTCAGATGCATGCGTTTTTGGATCAGATTTTTTTTGACTGAAAAGTAAGAAAGAGATGATCAACCTCACTGAAGTGTTAAATGGTGCCCAAAGTGTCAAATAGTGACTCACATTTACTGACTTTATCCAGATTAATGGACATTGGTCATCTGCCACTTATAATTTTATGATCAACGACTCTGTGTTAAATATCATTGCATTTATTGTGTTTGAACTGTTTGATTTTCTGATCTGTGTTGGCAAATCAACAGCTTTTTAAACACAGTCATGCAATTGTAAATAAAAAAAAAAATCACTTCAAATTCACTTCAGAAATTGCCAAAACTTCACTTATTCACTTATTGACTGCCAGCCCATTTCAGAACAGCCATTTCCATTTTGCCAGCCATTTTTGATATTCAGTCACACAGATAAGCACTCTCTGATGTGGGTTATCTGCTGTGCGACGTAAAGGCATTTACTATGGATAAAACTACAAAACAAACTATAAACACACTGATAAAATACAGCCCTGGATCACTGCACGGCCACAGCTCAATGAATTCCAGCTTTCAAAGTTGGTGAGTCCAAAACATAATCCAAATAGTGACCGCATTTCAAAAGTCAATGCGTTGAGTTTGACCAGAAGAAGAAGAAGGTCCTTTATTCATCCCATAGTGGGGAAATTTCAGTTTGATGAACACACAACACTGCGTGACCTGGTCGGAATGTCAGGACCAGTCCTTGCGTGGTTCTCCTCTTATTTATCGGGGAGGAGCTTTAGTGTCTCTGCAAATAAGTTCCTGTCTGACTCTGCTGATTTGCTGTGCGGGGTTCCTCAGGGCTCTGTTTTGGGCCCGATTTTGTTTTTACTCTATGTCCTTCCATTAGGGAAAATTATCCAGAGCTTTGATGATGTTTCTTACCATTTATATGCTGATGATATTCAGCTATACTGCTCTTTCAAGCCCTCTGAGATCCAGAAGTGAAGCTCTTTGCTGAAATGTCTTACGCAAGTTAAAAAATGGCTCGGTACAAATTCCCTCCAACTAAATTCAGACAAAACGGAGATGCTGGTGTTTGCCCCTGATGATGCTATTCCAGGGATTCACCAGTATTTGGGCGATCTGAGTTTGTCTACTAAAGCAAGCCTCAGAAATCTAGGCGTTAACTTTGACAAAGCAATGTCCTTAGAGCATCACTCAAAACTGCTGACAAGGAACTGTTTTTACCAACTGAGAAAAACCTCCAAACTTAGAGCAATTGTGCCAAGGGATGACCTTGAAATGATTATCCACGCCTTTGTGTCTTCCCGTTTAGACTATTGTAACAGTTTATTTTCTTGTCTAAACAAAAAGGAGTTGTCCCGCCTTCAGCAGGTACAAAACTCTGCGGCGAGGTTACTGACTCGCACAAACAGACGGGCTCATATTACTCCCATTCTAAAAGCCCTCCATTGGCTCCCAGTCACTTTTCGTTTCAATTTTAAAATCCTGGTGTTGACCTTCAGAGCCTTGCATGGTCAGGGTCCCTCTTACATTAGAGACTTGTTGTGTCCTTATACCCCCTCTCGGAGGCTGAGGTCTCAGGATCAGAACCTTCTCATGGTCCCTCTTACATTAGAGACTTGTTGTGTCCTTATACCCCCTCTCGGAGGCTGAGGTCTCAGGATCAGAACCTTCTCATGGTCCCTCGTACCCGTTACAAGACGAGAGGAGATCGCTCCTTCCAGGTGGTCGCGCCGACGCTCTGGAACGATCTTCCGCTTTCCTTGCGCTTACTTGATTGTGTTGATGTTTTTAAGTGTAAACTGAAAACCTACTTGTTTGAAAAAGCATTTTAATTCCAGTGGGAAAGGGGTTGTTTTATGACCACCATGTTTTGTGATTGTAAATGTAAATGTACTTTTATTTCTATTTGTATTTTTTGTGAAGCACTTTGTGACCTCTGTCTGTGAAAGGTGCTATATAAATAAATATTACTTACTTACTTACTTACATATACACATAAACACATCAAGGCATGCAGCGAACATTACTTCAAAGTGTCTTGCCCAAGGTGGAGTCGGTGGAGAAGGTCTTGCGATTGGCACAAACCCACGACCTTTAAGTTCAAAGGACAGTGCTCTACCATTCCGGACGGGTAAAATTGGAAACCCAAATGGCAACAGGGCTCTCAATGCAGGTTTTTCCTGATGGTCCTCACAGTCCACCGCTATATTCTTATATTTTTAGCTTGAGTCTCTCATGGTCTGGTGTCACAGCATAAACAATAATATATCCAATATTTAAACATTAGTGGCTATGCTTCACATTTTTACTTGTTTCAGTCCTATTACATTTTTAAAGAATCAACACTGGTGTCGAATGCTCAAATATATCCAGAAAATCTTTACAATCCCTATTCAGATGCTGTGTTCCTGCGTTTTATGACATTGGAACGCGGGTCGCTTCTATGCGATAAGGCGCACATCCACATTCTACCCACAACCCTGTGCTTCTTTGTCATAACGCTCCATATCGCTCTCATCACCACCCAGCGCCGCACAACTTGCTAAATCAATAAGCCACGTATCATGTTTTCTGATATCACATGAGGCTGATTTGATCGGGCGGAGCTGCTGTCAAATGATGGCAGATGAATCGTGCGAAGGGTTTGGGTCACGCTGAAACCATTGCCAAAGATAAAAAGACAGATATGTATTTGTTGCACATAATTCAGTGATTATTAAAGTCTGTCTGAATGTTATGGATCACCTCTGTAATGTGTGTGTAAAAAATGATAGAATATTACAACCAGAAAAAGTAATATAATAGAAAAACATTATTATATCAAGCATAGTGATGAGCAGAGTCGGATTGTTTTTGGCTTTCTGCGCTGTTGCTGAAAGCGATGGCGGTTAAAGGCTCATTCATACTCCATGTACCAGATGCATACAAAAGAGGCGTCTATCTGTCATGACTAAAAATCTTTCTGTCATTGGATGCGACTCAGGGGAGCTTGTGGAGTCACATCACTGAAGAGATACTCCTGCTCATTGTCCACATTTCCCGCCTCGGAGCTCATGGATCTGCCCGCCTCAGAGCTCATGGATCTGCCCAACTCAGAGCTCATGGATCTGCCCGCCTCAGAGCTCATGGATCTGCCCGCCTCAGAGCTCATGGATCTGCCCGCCTCAGAGCTCATGGATCTGCCCACCTCAGAGCTCATGGATCTGCCCGCCTCAGAGCTCATGGATCTGCCCACCTCAGAGCTCATGGATCTGCCCGCCTCAGAGCTCATGGATCTGCCCGCCTCAGAGCTCATGGATCTGCCCACCTCAGAGCTCATGGATCTGCCCGCCTCAGAGCTCATGGATCTGCCCGCCTCAGAGCTCATGGATCTGCCCGCCTCAGAGCTCATGGATCTGCCCGCCTCAGAGCTCATGGATCTGCCCGCCTCAGAGCTCATGGATCTGCCCGCCTCAGAGCTCATGGATCTGCCCACCTCAGAGCTCATGGATCTGCCCATCTCAGAGCTCATGGATCTGCCCGCCTCAGAGCTCATGGATCTGCCCGCCTCAGAGCTCATGGATCTGCCCGCCTCAGAGCTCATGGATCTGCCCGCCTCAGAGCTCATGGATCTGCCCAACTCAGAGCTCATGGATCTGCCCGCCTCAGAGCTCATGGATCTGCCCGCCTCAGAGCTCATGGATCTGCCCATCTCAGAGCTCATGGATCTGCCCGCCTCAGAGCTCATGGATCTGCCCACCTCAGAGCTCATGGATCTGCCCGCCTCAGAGCTCATGGATCTGCCCGCCTCAGAGCTCATGGATCTGCCCGCCTCAGAGCTCATGGATCTGCCCGCCTCAGAGCTCATGGATCTGCCCGCCTCAGAGCTCATGGATCTGCCCGCCTCAGAGCTCATGGATCTGCCCGCCTCAGAGCTCATGGATCTGCCCGCCTCAGAGCTCATGGATCTGCCCGCCTCAGAGCTCATGGATCTGCCCGCCTCAGAGCTCATGGATCTGCCCGCCTCAGAGCTCATGGATCTGCCCGCCTCAGAGCTCATGGATCTGCCCGCCTCAGAGCTCATGGATCTGCCCGCCTCAGAGCTCATGGATCTGCCCTCAGAGCTCATGGATCTCAGAGCTCATGGATCTGCCCGCCTCAGAGCTCATGGATCTGCCCGCCTCAGAGCTCATGGATCTGCCCTCAGAGCTCATGGATCTGCCCGCCTCAGAGCTCATGGATCTGCCCGCCTCAGAGCTCATGGATCTGCCCGCCTCAGAGCTCATGGATCTGCCCGCCTCAGAGCTCATGGATCTGCCCGCCTCAGAGCTCATGGATCTGCCCGCCTCAGAGCTCATGGATCTGCCCGCCTCAGAGCTCATGGATCTGCCCGCCTCAGAGCTCATGGATCTGCCCGCCTCAGAGCTCATGGATCTGCCCCGCCTCAGAGCTCATGGATCTGCCCATCTCAGAGCTCATGGATCTGCCCGCCTCAGAGCTCATGGATCTGCCCACCTCAGAGCTCATGGATCTGCCCGCCTCAGAGCTCATGGATCTGCCCGCCTCAGAGCTCATGGATCTGCCCGCCTCAGAGCTCATGGATCTGCCCGCCTCAGAGCTCATGGATCTGCCCGCCTCAGAGCTCATAGATCTGGAGATCGAAAAGGAGATGGCTAGACTAAATGCTAAATGCTAACAACAAACTCAGGCGCACTACATACGACACGGTAAACTCAGATCCAATTGTTTCAATCTGCAAAAGGAGTTAGCCCCTCCCACCTGTTAATGGAGTCAATGGAGCACCTCCAGACCATAGTACGAAATGTAATTTGTACTATGGTGTGGTACGACCAGGCTACCCTGTGAGTAACTCTCTAACACTTTGGGCCGAAAGCTGATTGAGTGAGGGTCCTGTCTTTCACTGTCTGAACATGTGACATGGGACACACGCCAAGGCACACGCCAAGGAACCGGCTCACTACAGACCAGTCGCACTGACCTCCCACCTGATGAAGACCATGGAGCACTGACCTCCTGATGAAGACCATGGAGCACTGACCTCCTGATGAAGACCATGGAGCACTGACCTCCCACCTGATGAAGACGATGGAGCACTGACTTCCTGATGAAGACCATGGAGCACTGACCTCCTGATGAAGACCATGGAGCACTGACTTCCTGATGAAGACCATGGAGCACTGACCTCCCACCTGATGAAGACCATGGAGCACTGACCTCCCACCTGATGAAGACCATGGAGCACTGACCTCCCACCTGATGAAGACAATGGAGCGGCTCATCCTCACCCATCTCCGCGCCGTGGTCAGCCCCACCCTGGACCCGCTGCAGTTCGCCTACAGACCCAACATCGGAGTAGAGGACGCCGTCATCTACTTCCTGCAGCGGACGCTCTCCCACCTGGAGCCTGCAGGGGGCGCTGTGAGGGTCATGTTTTTCGACTTCTCCAGTGCTTTCAATACCATCAGGCCGGCACTGCTGCAGGGGAAGATGGTCGATGGTCGTTGTGCTGTTTGCTCAACGACGGCTCTATTCATACTGCGTCTCAAGCACCTGCTCTCATCTCCTCACTGTAATACATACATGCTCTCTCACACACACACATACACACAAAAACGTGCACACAAATGCTTTCAGACACACACACCCACACAGCCCACATCTGGGAGCACAGCTGGCCTGTCTTCACTTTACAACCCTATCATCAAAACATATTTTTTTATTTATGAAAATGAGATGGTGGAAATCCGTCAGCTGGCTTAAATAATTAAAGTGGTAAATATTTTATAGAGCAGTTAGATGGATTTAATAAAAGTCAACATGTAAAGCATCTAAAGGGGCTATGGAAATTAGATTAGGCTGACTTTATTTTGTTAATAAAGGCTGTGCTGCAACAAACTATGATTTTATAGCATCATTAGACATTGAGTCTACTGCAGGTTTTGAAGCATGAGGAGAATATGCAAATTATCATGTCTGGAAAAAAAAAAAAAACTTAAATCTCAGAAAAATCTAGCAGAAAGGTCTCATCAGTGGGTGCAATGGAAGTATCTGCACTTCACTTGACTACTTTCTTACAACGTTTTACTTCCATATATTTTCTACGTTTTTTCCATTTTTGTACGTCAGAATTGCATATTAGCATGTACATCGCAGCACGCACACAGCAGGCGTGGTGACTTGCTGCATTCAGGGGATAACCATTTATCATTTTCAACTTTCTCGCTAAACGCATGTGCGTCAACCATTCAGAGAGCTGCAAAATGATCACGAAAGGCGTCCTCTCAGTCCACACACATACGAGTTGTGTTTGCCACACAGAAGGGACATGCCAGACCTACTGTACATGTTTTAGTGGTAGGGCAAACCAGAGCATCGGATACAGCTGGTGTATCGTCATTACATATTCAGAATACTACTTTAAAGTCTAGTATTTAGAATACAGATACTTTCTGAAAATCATGTGAATACATACTTTCTCACATTACGTTTTTAAGGTTTGAAAAAAGGAAAGATATACTATTTTTTCTGATTGTGGAACGGCAGCTGTTGAACCACTTCGTTTTACAAAAATAAACAACTAACTATTGAATAATTGAACAGAACATGTTATATTTAAGATGTTATATTTAAGCTCTTAAGACCCGAGCACTTTTTTGTAATGCATTTTTTATTTATCTTGGCTAATCGGGCATATTGGGGCCAGATAAATATACTAAGCATCATCTCTTGACGTGATGTAATTTTTGAGAAAAATTTTGTCCACATATGTGGACTCTCGGTCTGAATATCCATAAAACGCGATTAAGTAACAACTGTGTAATAAAGTGCAAAACTCTTTATTTCCACACAAACGTTTGATAAATGAACAATATTGAACAATGAACATTTTCAAACATTTCTCAGTGCAAAAACAGCAAAAGGAGCACTCTGATGATCCTGGGAGCTATGCTGTCTGGGGCTTCATGCCCCTGATAGGGTCTCCCATGGCAGACAGGTCTTGGGTGACGAGTCAGACGAAGCGCAGTCCGAAGCCAACATGGATAGCACAATATTAAGAACCGTGACGTCGCCTGGTTTGGCGCAGCTGGGGCCCCACTCTGGTGCACAGGGGTGTCCACCAGTGCACGTGGCACCAGGACACCCTAGGCCGGAGGTCGATGATCGACTTTGTTGTCGTATCATCTGACCTTCGACCGCGTGTCTCGGACACTCGGGTAAAGAGAGGGGCGGAGCTGTCGACCGATCACCACCTGGTTGTGAGTTGGATCCGCTGGCAGGGGAAGAAGCCGGTCAGACCTGGCAGACCTAAGCGTATAGTGAGGGTCGGCTGGGAACGCCTCGCTGAGCCCCCTGTCAGACGGACTTTCAACTCACACCTCCGGGAGAGCTTCTCCCAGGTCCCGGCGGAGGAGGGAGACAGTCAGAGTGGACCATGTTCTCTGCCTCAATCGCCGATGCGGCGGCTCAGAACTGTGGTCGCAAGGTCTCTGGTGCAGTGTGGTTTTCGTCCCGGGCCGCGGAACACTGGACCAGCATCGGATACTCGAGGGTCCATGAGAGTTCGCCCAACCTGTCCACATGTGCTTTGTGGATTAGGAGAAGGCGTTCGACCGTGTTCCCCGGGGTGTCCTTTGGGGGGTTCTCCGGGAGTACGGGGTCCGGGGTCCTCTGCTGAGCGCCGTTTGGTCCCTGTATGACCGGAGTCAGAGCTGTCAAGTCAGACCTGTTCCCGGTGCTTGTTGGCCTCCGCCAGGGCTGCCCTTTGTCACTGGTTCTGTTCACTGTATTTATGGACAGAATTTCTAAGCGGTTTGGGGACCACAGGATTTCATCTCTGCTGTTTGCGGACGATGTCGTCCTGCTGGCTCCAACAAACCAGGACCTGCAGCATGCACTGGGACGGTTTGCAGCCGAGTGTGAAGCGGCTGGGATGAGAATCAGCACCTCCAAATCCGAGGCCATGGTGCTCGACCGGAAAAAGGTGCCTTGCCCTCTGCAGGTGGGTGGAGAGGTCCTTCCTCAAGTGGAGGAGTTCAAGTATCTCGGGCTGTCGCTATATCGGACCGTTGTGGTAAAGAGGGAGCTGAGCCGAAAGGCAAAGCTCTCGATGTATCGGTCAATCTTCGTTCCCTCCCTCACCTATGGTCATGAGCTTTGGGTAATGACCGAAAGAACGAGATCGCGGATACAAGCGGTCGAACTTTCCTGTGCACGGTCAGCCATTTTGTTTTGTGTTAGCTTGTGCTGTAATTCCTCCAACACTACTAGAGGGCAGTGTAGGTATTGCTGTATGTGGACCCCAGGCCCCAATAAATCAGAATGAAGTATTATGTTTGTACAGCCCAAAATGTGATGTCCAAACAGGTGGACGGCAGGTCTTAGGAGGTTTTAAATATGTATTGAGGTTGTGGCCACAGAAGACTCCTGATTGGTCAGTTGTTCAAATTCATAACTGGACAATATCAAAATATAAACTCCTGGGTCAAAGATACTGCTTAACAATGGGTGTGTGTTACTGAGTTAGGAGTTTACATTTCAATTTAAATCAATAGGAGCCAGAGTCAAGGGCCCTCATTTATGAAACTTGCGTATAGACAAATCAGGGTGTAAATGAGGCGTACGCAGAAAATGTTACACTTTTCAGCATTTATCAATCTGGACGTGGGCGTACGGTACGCACAAAATATACGCCAAGTCTGGAGGTGGTGTACATTTTACACCCATCTCAACAACAATTACCATATTCAGACTTTCATTGAGCATCATGTTTCGAAATGTGAATTTGAAACATCTGAATCAGAAAAACTTTGATGGAAACAAGCAAACTTGGACTTAATCACAGATCATGAGGAGGACCCTCTTCTGTTTCTTAGTTTTCAAATCTGACTTGTGTGTGTTATTTTGATCTGTATGTTTTTAAATGTGAAGCGCTTTGTGATCCTGGTCTGTGAAAGGCTCTTTACAGATACACTTTACTTACTCACTAACCTAAACTACAGAGATGTGTGACCCATCTATTGCTTTGTAAATCAGTGGCAGGTCCTGCGCTGTGTAACTACGCATTTGTTTTGCCTCATTCACCTCTGACAAAGCAATGCACTTTTTCCTTAGTTTTGTGCATAAAGCCCCATAAACGCACCGATAGTCTCACTCAAAACGTTCTCAGCCACTGCCCTGCACTCTGCATGAAGCAGAGATAGAATGGCAACACGCTTATCTGTGGGAACTGGCTCAAGGGCAGTGGCTCTGAGGCAGTGTGCAGGTGTCAGGACAGGTCCCACCACATCACTGCTCAAATGTGGTGCGCGCCATTTTGACGTTTAGGATCCAGAGTTCCTCTGAAAGCAGCCAAGTCCCGGCACAGAGAACGACTACAGGAGCAGTTTGGTAACAACGATACTGCTTCTGTCTGGAGGGGCCTACGGGAGATCACCAACTACAAACCCAAAGCCCCCCCCTGTGCTGATGACCACAAGCTAGCTGACGATCTGAACTTATTTTACAGTCGCTTTGATGCTGCCCCTGACACCTCTCCCTCCCCCACCCCCCACTACTCTAACGACCCACCCATCAGCCCTGCCCCCAGCCTAACAATAGCCGCTAAAGAGATTAAACAACTCTTCCTGAG